ATAATCAATTGAATGAACTTGATCTTAGAAAATGTGGCAAACTAGAATTTTTAGATTGTTCCAACAACCAAATAATTAATCTCCACTTACCTAATGAAAAAAAAAAGTTAAGGCAGTTAATAATGCATGAAAATATACTTGGGCAGAAATTAACCTTTTTAAGCGAATTTGTTAATTTAGAGGAAGTGTATGCAGGAGGCAATTTTTTCTATGGCTCCTTAGAGCCGCTAAAAAACTTAAGCAAATTAAAATGTCTAGATATTATTGATAACAATATTACCTCCGGACTAGAGTATTTGCCTAGCAGTATTGATGAATTTTATTGTTATATCTATTCAAATCCTCAATCTGAGATGAAGAAGTTAGTTAATCAATTAGAACCCTATGCTATTGACATCAAGAAAGGTAAATATGACTTAGAAAAATTAAGGAGAACCAAGTCTAATTCAATCTCGCTGCAGTTAGCAAGTGCTCAAGAATGGTTGGATAAGAATTATCCTAAAGAAAAGAGAAGCGAGGTATATGAAATATATATTAACGAACAATTAGAAGGTAATTTAGATATGACAGATTTTACTTACTGGGATGATAGTTTTGGTGGCGTAAGAGTGTATATTTCCTATTATGTTGACGAAAGTAAAATGAAAATAGAAGATCAAAGGGAAAATATTGGAGTTATTAAACTAGTCAATGCTCAAGGACATCTTAATAAAGAATATCCGGATCCGAAAAGAAAAGAAAAAGAGACAAAAATAACTATTAACAATAAACTAGAGGGAGATTTAGACCTTTCAGGTTTTGTTAACTTAGAAAGTTTAAATCTTGTATATAATCGCCTCAATCTTAATCCTTTGCTGGACAATTGTAATTCTGAGAAGTTAAGCATATTGGAACTATCCTATAATAATTTCCCTGTTAGTGATTTAACTCCTTTTAGCAAGTTTGTTAATTTAAAAACCTTGCACCTTTCTAACAATCCTTTTACTGGTTCCTTAGAGCCTTTAAAAAATTTGAATAAATTGATATTATTAGAAA